TGACGTGCAATTTCCAAATCTATGTTTTCGATATTTTTGTCTTGCAAATCCATTAAAAATTTGAATTTTTTGCTGTATTTATGTCTCATAGACTTGGCTCCTTTTATTTAAATCCATAATCAGCTTATCCAAAGTAACGTTTAACGCGTCTCTTTTAAATCTTTCTTCTTTCTGCGCCGCGCCGTATACTGAGAATTCACCTGTAGACTTATCTGAAAATTTTGGAATAATGCGTCTCTTGTTTACGTCATTGTAGTCTATCCCCACACTAGTACTTAATTTTTAGCTTTCTCTTCGTATTCTTTTAGCTTTTGATTTGATCGGTATCGTATGTTGTTCACAAAGTCTTTTAATGACACAATTAACTTGTTGCCTTCACAAATGTCTAAACCAGGCGTATTTTTTTATTAACTAAATGAAATCTCTGCAAAAGTTCTTCCCAAAAAATAATCAAAATTGCAGTCTCGAGTTTCGCCATTTTATTGAATAAATTTCGTGCCTCTTTCCGGAAATCAACTTTCTCAATCTCATTTTCGCTGAAACTTTCGAAAATTTTTATAATGTCATCATAATTATTTTTAAGGCTTTGACAGCATCATAGTGGCAAAACCATCTGGTCTGGCTTAAACTTTTTAACGTGAATTTTAATTTTATTTCACGATTCAACAGTTCCCACCTATGGGTCTATTGTTTTTAGCGGGGTCTGGGGGCCCCTTTTAACCTCGGGGCCCTGGGCTGCAGCCCAAACAGCCCTTAGGTAGATCCGGCCCTGCATAATTTAAAATTCCGTTACAATACGGAAACAGATTGAAGTTTTGTGATTACAGAGATATATAAATTATACGGTTTTGTAACAAATTGCTCGCTATTTTATGGCAAATGCTGAAGCTCTGCAAACCTTAATGAAGCCTTAATCAAAGCACGTTTGTTTCGAATTTTGGGTGTGGGTTAACACGACAGGATCGGGCTAAGCTTTAGGGCTCTAACTCACTGACGACCAGGTCGCAACGACCTGGCCGTCGGCTGGCCGGATGTATTCCATTTTTAGCTGCGGCCAAATGAACGATCAATTTCTACAGAGTTGTCAAATCTAACGATTTTTTACGTTTTACCAATTAGAAAATATTGTTTCAAATGTTAAAATATCCGAGTTAACTAAAAAGCGAAGTTGCTATTCACAACAAACAAAAAGTATTGTGTACGCGCGACCGACAAAAAAGGAGATATTCTGTTTCTTTTTTCTACTGATATGGCGCCCTTATCGACTTTAGAAGTAAACATATTAGGGCCATCGTAAAAAAAGATCGTCAGACACTGGCTCTAAATATAAGCAGGTAGAGGGTTTGGCTTCCAGTTATTTCAATGTTTACAATATAACGAAGAACCTACAACAGTAATTACTTATATTTTTATGAATGTTTAAGTTACTTTCTTAATTTTTTTTTCAAAATAATGTACCTAGTAGAAATATAGTCTAATGAACCCTGTTTGAAAAACGTTAAATTAAATATAATATTTAAAATACAGTTGTCCTCCTTGTACATGACTACAATACAACTAAAAAAACTAATTTAATAAAAAAAACAAGTGGTTGTAGAAAAACTTTAAATATTATTTTTTTTATTTTTTAACATCGAAACTCAAAGGTATAATAACAGGTATCATACCAACCATAAATAGAGTGGGTATGTCATATAAAAATGTTTTGAGTTTTTACTAGAATCGACCCTTGATAAAAAAAAGGGATTAGATTTAAGTTTACCTTTGATCCAGTCTGTATACTATTTCTTTGGATTTTCTGCACGTGTGCAGAAACTACACTAAAACACTATATCTTATAGAAAATAAAATATCGTGCCTTGAATTTGAGGGATTTCATCTGAAAAATTATTAATTTGGAAGAAAACCGGCAACAAGCGGCAAAAAATATTTCCGTGCAGTCTTCTGGTCGCGTCGCAACGACCAACGGACGGCCAGAACGTTAGTGTGCGCTATATCATTTGATTTAATGGTTTTAAGCCCCGTTCTAAGAACGACGTCGTGTCGCGGGCGACACGTCAAAAGGACCAATGAGATTTGTACAAAATTCAAACAGATGTCAATTTTAAATTTAGTACAGCTCTCACTGGTTGTTTGAAATGTCAAATTGTGTAGCCAGCGACACGGCGCAGTTCTGAGAACGGGGCTTTAGAGGTAGCTGCGGCCTGGCCGGTGCGACCTGGTCGTCAGTGTGTTCGAGCCCTTAGGCAGGTTTCTGAAATATAATATGTATTTTCTTCGGCAACACACCCGCTTTACCCGACACTTGCTTATCTCACATGACTCACGCTCAACTTCTACGAATATTCTTATCTGTTAACTTTTGCGTGAGATTGAACAATTTGTAAATACAAATTCTTAAAATAATACACTTGCTTATAGGAATTTCAAATAAAACTCACATACAAAAGGCGCAATCGAAAGTATATTTTTATGGAGCATTGAAAAACAGACAAACATTCATAATTCATATTAATCTCTTCTGAGAACTGAGCGATAGTGATAAGCTTGGTGATTCACAATAAATATTCATTTTTTATAATGCATAGATAACAGCAAAAAAAATATGAAAGCAGGAAAGCAGGCACATTTATTACACGAATAATTTTCAGATAATTTTCACCTTATAGCATAAACTCCAAATAATGATAAACCGTCAATCATATTTTGTCTAAGGAATGGGCTCTTTAGACCATTCCAATGGCCCATTATATTATCCATATTAATCCCATGCTTTATGATATTTTTGATATACTCGTTTATACAGGGTCGCTGAAATGTATGGAAACGGTCGATTATGGAGTAAAATATACGAGGTACCGCAAAAAGTTAAATATAAAAGTTATAGGGTTTTTAAATGTCTATTGGCGAGTAATAAATTTAAGTATACAGGGTTGGTCATAAAGTCGTGGCACATCAAAATTTAATTTTTTTAAACGGAACCCCCTGTATATTATTGCATATTTCAATTCTTCTTTCAGTTCTAAGCAGAAACAGTTCTTAGGTTTGCACTTAAACAAAATTGTCAGGTTTTTTATTCTAGGAACTACAGATGCCCAACGCACTATTGCCGGACCCTGTATAAAGGCCTTTTAATTTCCTCCATAAAAAAAGTCGAAAGGAGTTACATCACAGGACCTAGCAGGCCAAGATATGGGATCCCTTGTTCCATTCCAATTCTCTCTAAATTCTCCATTTAATAGTGCAGTTGTAACCCTGGCTTTTTAATTGTAAATGGTAATACTAATATAGAATGTTCATTTACCTTTTAAAGTATTTAATTATGCAGATAGATAATGATCTAGAATATTAAATTGTGATAAAAAAAATAATTAGGCAACTAGGTCAACACAAAATCAAGGCCCGCTTCGATACAAAGATAAAAAACCTAATATTTCTCTCATTCTTAGAAATAAATACACATAACTTTATATCGTTGGAAAGGGTTAAACGTCAACATTTTTTTAAGTTCACAGCCAACTATGATTACCATTTGAAAAATCATATTTTCTAATATTTCTGACAAAAAGAGCAAGCATAGAAAAAAACTGACTACGCCACTGAATTGTGCTTAAAAAAGTGCCTTGAGAACGTTTTTACAGAATTTTATTATTCCGCGGAATAAAAATGTTATGGGCAATTTTCAAAATGGTAAAAAAATCAAAAAGAACCCTATGTCTGTTGGCAGTGAAAATATCAATGTCTCAGAAATCGAGCCCATGACATCTATGTCGGTTTTGCTCTATCTAGTCAGGAAATAGGTTTTCTCTGTTAAAACAGACCAATTTCGACCACCCTGTACATATGAAATGAGATTATATCAAGTCTGGAAATTACAAAATTTTCGTTTAACATTTCAAAACGAAAACTCAATATCTCGGAAACAGTACATTATGTGTATTACAAGTTTTACTTGTAGTAAAAATTGAAATATCCAATTATATACAGGAGGTTTGATTTAAAAAAAATGAATCTTTGAGGTGCCATGACTTTATGACCGACCCCGTATACTAAATTTTATTACAAGATGTTAGGAATTTAAAAACCCTATAACTTTTGTATTTAGCTTTTTGCGGGACTTAGTATACTTTGCCCAATAATCGACCGTTTCCATACATATCAGCGACCCTGTATAGTAGGTACCTACATATGTCCCCGATTGTCTTTACAAGAGGAAAAACTATTTTATTACTGACATTTTGAAAAAAAATGAAAAAAACATGAAAATTTGGTTGATTTTTTTCGAAATCTTAAAAATCATCGTTTCTATTAGAGGCGGATACAGAGGGGGGCCCATGGGGCCCGGGCTCACCTTAAAGGCTATGGATTGGGTTTGAATATTTGGCTTTGGATTAAAAATGGCGCTCTAAAAAGCATATTCTACATTACTTTTTATTTGTACCCCCTCCCCTAAAATAAATTCCTGTATCCGCCCCTGGTTTCTATGGTAATATAATCTTCATAAAATTTTTTGCTTGTTCTAAAATAATTAATCCCGTTTATATTTTTCCAAATTTCCAGACTGTTTTAGAGAAAATTAAAAAAAAAACATAAAAATATAGTTGAATTTTTAGTCCTAAAAATCAAAACGCGTTTTTATGGTAATAGATATAATTTCGTTTTCCTTCTTTGATAGATTTTTATTGATAGAATCATGACAGAATTTTAATTTATAAAAGCTAGAGATGCCCATGAGATGCCTAGCAACTTTGCTACTTAAAAGCAATCATTTTCATAAGAAGATACAATGCAGATATTTAAAAATAAATTCTAATCGACACGCTGCTAATACCGGTATATTTTATGTAATTCCCCTCGTAATTCTCAGAATTATAAACAACAAACAACAGAATATGTAAACACGACATCAAGAAATTGCAATTATTTTAAGTGCAACACAAAGATACTTAAAGATCTTAACAATTAGAAATTAATAAAAAGGAATAACAGAAAAAACTTACATTTCTAAATGTGGCACATAAACATAAATATGAACTTTGCCTTTGAGAACTGCCCAAAATCAAACTGCACTTGTCGAATCTTGTCGGCCTGAAAATAACAAATAACTAAACCACAGAACACAGAACTAAACGAAAAGCCTTCAAAACTGTTTTGTTTGTAAATTCCTCAGTGTTGCCAATAGTTTAGAACAAATTTTCTTCTTTTAAATTAGAACTTGGATTTTAATTTTAAATGTATTTTTTCCGGAAACAGATTAATGGTTAAACAATTCTGAACTAATTGGCGTGTTTTATTTAAGCGGACCAATATATTTAAATCTAGAAACAGAAATACATAAATAGCTAGTGAGGATTTATACGGGGCTATTTAGCTATTCGTGGGTATCGTGACTGGCATCTACGTCCCACTGGTCTACTCGGGCACCCAACAAGGTTGCCGTTTGTTGTCCTTTAATTTCATGATTTTCAATCATAAAATATACATAAAATTCATTCAAAAGTCAGATATAAAGTCAGATCAGTCAGACAGAGTCAGACGAAGTACCTAGTTTATTTTATTATTATAGTTCATGCCTAGTTTAATTATGCCTTAGTTTTATTATTATTATTACAGTTCATGCCTAGTTTAATTGTTAGCTAAAGTAAAGACGTTTATTCCGGCGAATTCCGTATCAAAAATTTTAGTGCAAAGAGTTTTAACAAGGCATTTAAAATCACATGCACAGGCACAGGTGGCACAAGGTAATTGACCAAATTATCAAAGAAGTAAGGCACAATCAAGTGTAAAAGTCGATGCACATTATGATACACGTAGCGTTTCCGTTCCAGCAATCGGACTGTGCATTCACATATTATGCTGCCGTTACAGTTTGCTTTTTGCTGCCGTTACTTTTTGCTACAGTTATATCCACTATATTCACTTTCTCTTCAATATTCTATTCCCTACTTCATATTCTCATTCATTCCTACAGAAGGTCTAAGAAATACACCGTACATACACAATACACATGTATTTCTAAATCATATTTATTAAAAATAAGTTAAGAGTTATTTAAAAAATCAAATTCTATTTGTTTTTAAGTAATCATCTTCATCATTATCCAAATGTGTATTTAAAAATTCTTCTACTGAATCTGTATTCCACTTTTCAATAGCAACAGTTTCTTGCAAATGTCCATCCTTGTCATAAAGTTTAATAATTGGATCGAGACCTCTAATATATTTAATCTGAAGATTGGGAAATTTAGCTGGTCGGTCGCTTTTTATAAAGGCTTGGATTTGTGGATATGCTCCAAACTTACAAGTGCAAACTTCTAGAATTGCCTTAGCATATTTCTTTTCAGTATAGTTTGTTTCGTCTGGACGACAACATTCTTTACAATGATTTCTGAAAATATATGTAAGTACTAGAAAATAGTGTAAACATATCTTACTAGGTATTACTTCAAGATGTCCAAATCAAACTTTGTTAGTTGATCACAAGACGAACAAAGCAAATTTGCTTTATTAAATCCTACAGTCCAGCAATCTTCTGTAGAAAATTCACATATAGCGATTTCCTATAAAACAGACATTCCCCACTTATTAAAAATACTGTTAATATAATCAAATACTTACTATTAAACTAATAAATATAATAATAAATTTCATAAAATCCATTTCTAATCATTTATTAAAAATTATTCTTAATTTGTACTAATTCTAATGACTCTAACCTCTGTTTTAACCGGTTTTAACCATAAAATCAAGATAATATAACCAGGGGGGTGACAGTGAAATAGGAAAATTGGAAACAGTCATTAGTGTCATTCCTGTCATTCTCCTCACGACAAGTATGGCCGCCTAGACAAGGACAGCATTGTTTTTGTCTAACTATTGTCTAACTTCACAGTTTATAATTGACAGATTTCAGTTTCAGAGACAACTTCAGATTTGTTCTAGAACAAATTCGAAAATTGTGTCGAAAATATTCGACGCCATTTTAATTCATTCCGTTTAGTTTCGTTTTGGAAGTTCAATTTAATATTTCGGCTGAAATTTATAATTATAAAGGTAATAAAGTATATAAAATATATATTACATGAAGAATCCTGGAGAAAATGACGTTTCTGCCGTAGTAGGTATGTCCCATGTATATGAAAAATAGGTAGTAAATAAACACTGTTTTTACATTTTTTAGATGCAAGAAAATGGTGTTATAATCTCTTTGATCGGCGATTTTTTTGAAAATGGAAACAATTTACAGCAAGGTAAGATCATTTTTAACTATAGCCAACATCATTTATCTCCAATATGTGCGATTTATTGTCAATAATGCAATAAATCGGACTGATAATCTGATTATGTTATCCGACTAAAAGTCTCTTTTTGCTTCTTTTTGATTTATAAGCCAGGTCTCTTTGGGAATAATGGACGCTTTTTTAAACAGTATATTTATATTTTATACCTATTGATATTTTTACATTGTTAATTTTAGTATAAAAAAATTTGTTTTTCTGTTTTCAGGTTTTTGTATAAGGCTCCCGTTTTCATGTCCCTGTGTCCGTTTTCTGTCCTTGAAGTCTGCGAATACGTGTGTTTATTTACAAATTACTGTAAGTCATGCTTATACCTTAACTAATTTACGTTAAAAGTACATATAATTAACTAATTGGTATTGAAACAATACAATCCTCTATATTTTTATGTTTATTTAGTCACGTTGTTCCATACTTCAAATAAATATATGTGAATAAATTATTTTTTGGTTTTATTTATGAAAAGAAAAAACAAAATACATTTGAACTGAAAGAGGACCCGCCATTGAATAACCGGAAACGGAAATGAGAATTAAGCCATCATGTCCTTATCATGTCAACCTGTCAATTGGAAAATTAGTTCTCCAGACGACAACGAAGGCTTTCGGTGGCGTATCGTGTTTCCACGATTTAACACAGAGTTGACACTTCTTTCTAGTTAATTATTTTATGAATATAACTTGATGACGAAACTGATTGTGATTGGCGCTACAGAAAATATGAATTATATATTTGAATATGATTCGCAGTGTTCCCACCTGAAGAAATATACATTTACATGTTCTCCATAGACTTTGGATACGGGACTAGAGATGTGTCAAAAATAAACTACTAGTTCAAATGAACTATTAAAAAAATCCAGGGTAGGCTCCTTAAAGACAATTAAATTCTCATTAAATCACCATCACAATCACCATTAAATTGTACATCTGATATACAAGGTGTTCTATTTAAATTAAAGAAGTTATTGCTGTTTAAAGCTAGTAAATATTTAAAATAAATTTTTAGACGCTCTGTATAAGACAGTGGGAGTATTATTTTTATTATTGCAGCACAAAATTTAGAAATAGGTAAACTTCAGTTCAATATTTGTTTTTAAGACCAGTAAACCTTAATCAAATTTACCTTTATTTTAATCGTAGAAACTAAAAATGTGGTAACGTACAGGCTGTTCCATTTAAAAAATACAACTTTTTTTTATTTTTTATGTATTTATTTGGGACACTATACCTTTTGTTAATAATTTTAAATTTTAGCTCTAATAGTCTTACTACGAACCCAAAACTATTTGTAAAAATCTAATCATTTGGCTACAATATTCCGTGTTGTATGAGATGAATAAAACGTAAAAATCTACGTTTCGATAAAAATTCGTTAATAAAGCTTTTAACTGTTAATAACCCGTATTGTTTTTATTTTACTTACGTTTTTATTTGATGATTAATGATTTTTTATTTTGAGCCGAAATTGAAATTTAGACAGAAAAAATAGAAAACCTCTGTATACCGGGTGCGTCTCAAAAGTGGCTCACCCCCTATAAGTTTTTTATTCTTTCAGATAAAAAAAAACGAGATTTGGTATCTTAGTATACGACATAAATTAAGATTGATTGACGTATTCAATTGTTTTCGGTCGCTTCCTGTTTCACCGGAAATGACTACAACTTTCGATTTTTAAATGGCACCCTCGGTATTTTTTTACTTTATTCGATAGAACATGACACTCTGAATAGATTGACATATCGTATGTCAACTTTTGACATTCTCGCTTAAAAAAATCGTTATTATTTTTATTATTTAAAGTACCATGGCTGTGTTAAAACACTTAATTTTTAATCAAGGAACCTTGGAAAAATATAGTAGATCGTCTAATGTTTTTCGTGTCTTGTCCTGGCTGGTTAAAAGATGGATGAATATTTGGAAAAAGCATTTTTTTTTACTTTTTGAATAATTTGATTTTGTATGATTTGATTGCACACTTGGAGCTTGGTACTTACCATATGATCGAAAAAAAAACGGAAGATCGCTGTCATTTTGCATTTTATATGGGAAATGTCATCGATTGTCATTTCCCAGCCAACTGGGCGCCGTTTTTTTTCGATCATACTGTATATCGAGTCAAAATGTCGTTATGAACCGCCATGTTACAATTTTAAATAAACCATATGCACATTTGTCAAAAGTTGACATGTGATACGTCTTCTATTCAGAGTGTCATTTTCTATTGAATAGAAATTGAAAGTCAAAAAATACTGAGGGTGCCATTTAAAAAATTGAAAGTCAAAAAATACTGAGGGTGCCATTTAAAAATAAAAGTTGTAGTTATTTCCGGTTAAACAGGAAGTGATCGAAAACAATTGAATACGGAATACGTCAATCAGTCCTAATTTATGTCATATACTAAGATACCAAATCTCATTTTTTTATCTGAAAAAAAATAAAAGTTATAGGGGCGAGCCACTTTTGAGATTGAGACGCACCCGGTATAGAGATGGAAACTTGCCATTCTTCATTTTTTTATTAGTTAAGTATTTTACACCAAAACTTACCAAAACAAAAGTTTGTTAAAAGTTTAAAGAGAGAAGAGACACGTAAACGCCCAAGAATGATAAGGACAATCACATAGGAAGTAAATAGACAGGATTGCTTAATAATTCTAGAAGACGCAGTTCGCCAAATTTTACTGCGCTGTTACGTCACTGCAGACCTCTTTTTCACTTTCATTCGTTTACCTCAAAGGTTTAATTAAACCACAGCTTAAGCCGGGTCCACATACGTAGCACTCTATTGTATCAGGATCATGTATCACGTATCAAGAGCTTGTATCTAAGTATGGACGTTTATTTGGGCTGTGTCGACTGAATATGCATATAGTGCCAAAGTAAGCGTCCATACTTATAAAATTCATACGTATCAGCGCAGCGTACAAGCGTGCGTATCAGTTATGTGGACGGTACAACAAATCACCTTGTATCGTGTTAAGATACGCGCCAAAATTCGGATTGGCATGTATCAGATACAGTATCACAAAGGTGTACCATTATTAATTCGGCGTCCAAACTAGCGATCATGATACATGTTGGTGTAACGCGACGGAGATATGATACACCAAGATGCTACATATGTGGACCCGGCCTTAAATGTTCGATTGATGGATCGTCTTTTTTATGTTAAAACATTTTGCTTCTCTTCGAAACATGTTTTTATACGACGAAAACGATTTTGCCCGGAACAAAAACGTTTTTGACTAAATCGGTTTTGCCCTTTTTGTGTGCGTTCAGTGCGTTAGGCCGGGTCCACATATGTAGCATCTTGGTGTATCATATGTCCGTCGCGTTGCACCAACATTTATCATGATCGCTAGTTTGGACGCCGAATTAACGCGATCATATGGTACACCTTTGTGATACCTTAAGCCGGGTCCCCATATGTAGCATCTTGATGTATCATATCTCCGTCGCGTTGCACCAACATGTATCATGATCGCTAGTTTGGACGCCGAATTAACGCGATCATATGGTACACCTTTGTGATACCGTATCTGATACATGCCAATCCGAATTTTGGCACGTATCTTAACACTGCGTATCGGATACACGTATCACGATCTATCATTTGGACGTGTTTTGATACAGTATAACGATACAATTGACTTGATACGCCGTGACCCGTCTTGAAGCGGTTTTTCTCCGATCATCAAAGGGGCATCGAGGGTTCGCTGACAAGAAGTGATGAACATGATACGACGATACAAGGTGATTTGTTGTACCGTCCACATACACTGATACGCACGCTTGTACGCTGATACGTATGAATTTTATAAGTATGGACGCTTACTTTGGCACGCTATGCATATTCAGTTGACACAGCCCATATAAACATCCACACTTACGATATAAGCTCTTGATACGTGATACATGATCCTGATACAATAGAGTGCTACATATGTGGACCCAGCTTTATAAGTCGTATTGGTTTAAATTATTTTTTAGTTACAAAAACACATTTTGTTTAAATCACGTTTATTTCTAAAATTCCATGTTTCATCACAGTAAAACAAACAATTTAAATAAGCTAAATCTATTATAAAAACTTACTAAACATTATTTTCTTCTTCTAAAAGTTAAATAAAAAAATGATTACTAGTTTAGAGAAATACAAGAACCAAGATTATTGCCAAAAATATCAATAATTCTGATTGGCAGACTGTTATCTAAAAGCAGCACAAGTTCATTTTCAGTTCAGTTTATTAAGGTACCACGATGGACAGCAAAATTATCTGATTAAAGTAAATTAAATAAGAATACTCTTTTAAACTAGGTTGATTTATTTTTAATTTAAGTTAAATAATGTATTTTTTATATAATGAATATTCTAAAATCCTCCACTGGCACCAAATCCACCACGTCCTCTACCTCTAAAGCCACCTCGAAAACCTCCTCCTCCTCCATAGCCTCCACCGCCATATCCGCCGCCATATCCTCCTCCACCTCCACCATATCCTCCACCACCTCCACCATATCCTCCGCCACCTCTGCCTCCAAAACCACCTCGTCCACCAAAACCACCTCTGCCACCAAAATCACCTGAAAAACAAAAAATATAAAATGTAAGTCATTATAAAAATTTCACATGTATTAAATAAATAAAGGAAGCAGCCAAGGGGAACCCTGTGTAATATTTTATATTTTATTTGCCTTGTTTGAGCTTTTTTAAAAATATATACATACAGGGTGTCTCAGATTTTAATCGGGAAAATTTAATAGACGATAGAACTTGCAAAAATAAAACAAAAAGTTCATATCAACTTGTAAGATTTAAAGCTTCCTTTTCGAGATACAGGGTACTCATTAGAATACCAATTATAATATTAATTACCAATTAGAATTTAATTTTTTCGCAAGAAGTAAGCAAGATAGAAAAAGTCAGGACACAAAAAATTATATTATTAATTACTAAATCCAAAAAATAATATTAAATTCTAAAAAAGCAGTGGCGTGCCTATTTTTTTTCTTTTTAAAAATAATTTAACAGTGATGCTTCCCCCACCTGCCGCCCCTGGCCATTAAACTTAAATCTAATTACATCCAATTAAGTCCCATAGTAAGTATTATAAACGGGTCAAGTTATATCAAAATCGATTAAATAGTTTTTTAAATATCTTATTTTTTTTCTTTTTTAAGTAACTTTAACACCCTGTATCTCGAACAGGAAGCTTTAAATCTAACAAGTTGATATGAACTTTTTGTTTTATTTTTGCAAGTTCTATCGTCTATTAAATTTTCCCGATTAAAATCTGAGACACCCTGTATACTCTAGACTTATTTTCAAAAACAAGGTAGTAAAAAATTCATTATTTATCTTTTTAACATAGGGGATCACTAAATCGCCTATTTTTTTCACTTTATACTCTGAAAAGAAGGTTGGTAGACATCTCAAAAAAAATCTCTCCAAAATGAGCTCTTAATTTTAATAGGAAGGTCTTCCACCTTTCAGTTTTCTATTTTTTCCTTATTATTAGAAAGAAAACTTCATATCTCGGTATCTACTAGCGATGGGAACTATCGAATGAATTAGACTATCGAATGGTTACTGAATGAATGATTTCAACTATCGAATGGTTTTATTCGAATAAAGTCATTCATTCGTTTGTAAACTAAAGCATATGTGACAACCTCGCCGTGCGACTAAATGGTTATCGTTGCGCCACGACTATCGAATGCTTTTGATAAATGAAATTTAGTATTCGTTTGATTTTTGTGTGCGTCAGTGCATTATTAGTTCTTCCAAATTTTTATAACTTCGCCTTGTAAATACTATGCTATTTTTGCGTTTATTAAAATATTTAAAATACTAAAAGTAGTTTTTTTAATTGACGATTGTGTGCGAAGTGGTCAAAATTTTTCCGAAAATTTGTGTGATTTTCCGTAGCCCGATCTTTCCAATTATTTAATTTTTATATGGTATATTATGGTTAGGTTAGGATTGCATTTTTTTTAATCGGAAATTTTGAGAAGTAGCAATTTTAAGAGCGCTGAGATGAACTTACATTAATTTTAAAAAATACATATTTGTATTTTAGATGTCTTAACAATATGAATTAGTTGAACTTAATAATCATATTTAAGTAATGTGGTTAAGTAAATGGGGTTATCGAACTCAAATTTTGGGGTGAGAAAATTAAATTGAAAGTTTTACACGTGCCAATTTAAAAAAAAGTTAACAATGTTTGTATTTTCTTTTATGCTAATTTTACATGTGGTTTTTTTGCGAAGAAATATTTCATTTATTTTTAAAGTAAATGCCAGCAAAAGTAAATATATTATTTTAAATAGTAATATAAAGTAATAAAAAAGTAATATGAAATTAGTTCTGTAATTATTATTATTTAATAAACCAACTTGGCGACATAGAGACTATATTATTTTTAAATAGGATTCAATATAAATACTTTGACTTCTATTTGTTGTTTATATTTTGCTACTACTTAAAAAAAAAATGTTTATATTATTAAATGATTGTAAATTTTGTTGTTAATAGGTATAACAAATTATTACTGTTATTTTATCAAACTAAATAAAAAGATAAAATAAAAATTTTATCAATTTATTAAACCAGTCTTTGCTTAAACACATTAAAAATCATTTTCCTACATCCAAAATAAAAAGTATTATTGCAGTGTAACAACAGAATATATTAATAAAAAAGTGCAAAACATATATAGACATACTATCCCTAACTAACTAATGCTAAAGAATAATATTCTTTGCTAATACCAACTCATACGAATATATGGCAACAGCGCCGTTCATAATATATTTTCTGTGTAAATACTATAGCACCTCAATAAAAAAAATAATGTGTCCTTATCTTTATTTGACTCTTGGTTTCTAGGAAAGAAACCTACGTCGCCGGACGCCAACTAAAATCCAGTTTATATTTTATTAAAATCGATCCTGGCGAATAAATGAATTTGATAAATGAATGGTTTTTGCTGCCGAATTACTAGAATACAATATTTCAAGGCAGATGACGCATCTATTCGATAATTTTTATTCGAATAGTTTTTTTCGACGAATGTTTTCGCACTAGCTATCGAATTATTCGAATGAATTGCAACTATCGAATGTTTCGATAGTATTCATTCGATAGTTCCCACTACTAGTATCTACTACTTTAGTGATGACGCTTTGAAACAGGATCTGTTATTTTCGAAACAGGTTTGTTTTGGAACTGGCTTGGAACAGGTTTATGTGCTATCCTATACCAGTTCCAGTTCCAACTGTTCCAGCTGTTTCAAAACACTGCAACTTAAATTAAATACTTAAAGAAATAAATTTTTGAATTGTTTAAATTATGTTATCTACTATATTTGTGATACTAGATTCTTAATAGTGTATTTTTCAAAAATTAGATAATTATATATTATAGTGCATTTGGCAACATCGCCAGTACAAGTTTTTTTGATGGTAAGAAATTCCTTCGCCTATTCTGTTTACATTAAACAAAACTCTGCGCAAAATGTATACTATACCGACGAAGGAACCGCTTTGTTTTTATTATCTAGAATGTAAATTGTTTTATTTTTTTATATATGTATTTTACTATTTTACATATATGAAATAGTAAATATTAGATATTCTATTCTTTCTGTATTTTTAAATGTTGATTTCTTCCTATTTAAAATTTATGATAAAAAATTTAGTTGAATTTTAAATTATATATATATATCAAATATCGGCAACGCTATGGAAACCGTCACCCTTTGTTTTTTACGTCCATACACTATATTAGTGCACTCGCACTCAATCTCGATAATATAACGCCAAGCGACCGCATCGTTAAAGCGATATACTACCTGTTTTCTAAACTGAAACTAGTTCTTTTTACTTAACTGTTCGAGTTCCTCCAAACTGTTCCAAGTCTCTAAACAGTTCCAGTTCCCTAACTGTTCCAGCGCCAAACTGTTCTAAGCCGTAAACTGTATCCAACCTGAACAGTGGGACTTGGAACAGTTTGAGACTTGGAACAGTTTGCGACCTGGAACAGTTTAGGCTTTGGAACAAGTTTAGCGCTTGGAACAGTTAGTGACTTGGAACTGTTTGAGACTTGGAACAGTTTGCGACCTGGAACAGTTTAGGCTTGGAACAGTTAGGAACTTGGAACCGTGTCTTGGAAACAGTTAAGTAAAAGAACTGGTTTGAGTTGATAATCGAGGTCGTCTATCGGTTTCGCTCAATGTTTCGCTAGTCTAGACAAGTCTAGCGGACGCGACCGTTCAGGTGTTATCTGTTATCGGATTACAGGGGCGTAAAAAAACAAGTGTGGCTGTTGCCGTTATTTAAAATATTTCATTAAAATTCAACTAAATTCTTATTATAAATTTTAAATTTATAATAATGTTTTTTTAAATATTTTATTTTTTTTAATGTAAACAGAAATAGAATAGGTAAGGAACATTTTTTATTATAAAAAAAATGCTGGCGATGTTGCCAAATGCAATATAATTATCGCATTATAGTTTTTTTTGAAAAATACAATGTAAGAACAGTTGGTTATTGTTTTGTATTATAAATATAGTAGATATTAAAGAAAATTAAACTCTTCCAAGAATTTACTTTTTAAGTATATAACTAAATTATAAATCTATATTTATTCATTAGTTCTTGTACAGGGTGGGTCTTAAATAAGTGCACATATTTTTAGGGGTTGTATATTTCGATTCTCATGAGTTTTTTTGAGGGAAAACATGTTTTTGAAAAGTTTATATTTTTCGAAAATTTTATAGTTTTTTTTATTCACTGCTCCACAAAAATGGTTTCTTATGATTAGTCGATTAAATGAACCGTTTAAAAGATATTCATCGTCAAACTTCAATGCACAATAATTTTAACAGTTTTTGATAAGAATTCTGAGAGATTTTTTTTGAGGTGTCTACCAACCTTTTTTTCAGAGTATAAAGTAAAAAAAAATAGTCGGTTTTTTACCCATTCTAGAGACTGTTTGAATTAAGTTATCAAAACAATCGAATAATTTATTCGACCTCAAATTTTGGCTATTCTATTTCTATACTAGTTTCTGTTTGAAATTATTGCATTTAGTGCCAAAAATATAAATAACTCTGATTGACACCGTGCTATCTCAAAGCAACAAAAGTTCATTTTCAGTGCAGCTTATTAAGATACCACGATGGAAAGCAAAGATATCCAGATTAAATTAAATAAGAATACACTTTCAAACTAGGTTGATTTATTTCAGTTGATTTTTATTTTAAGTTAACTAACGCATTTTTTATCTTATTTATGAACATTAGTTATATTTTTAGAAAGCTCATAACGGGAAACAAAATAAAAAATAATGTACTGGGTGTCCGATTTAAAATCAAAAAATTGGAGGCACGTACAGCCGCCCATACTAAAATATGTTAATAAAAAGTTGGTAGGCAGTTCTTTTAGTTTCAAAGTAAAGGAATTTTTCCAATTTTGGTCCGCGGTTATTTCTATCCGCCACCTGGGGTCGCGTCCGATGGGAGTTTGGAGTTCTCCACACGGATTTTCTCAAAAACGGACTACGGAAACACGGAATATCTCAAAAGCTGCGACTTTGACTGATTTTGATGTTATTACAAATTTTGTTGCAAATATTATTCCTAATCTTAAATTGAAAACCGCGTTTCGCTAGCTACTGAAATTTTGGAGTTACGATTTTTTAAAATTTTTAACCCCTTCCCAACCCCCCACCCCCACCAAAAACTAATGGCTAGATTCTCGAGTGCCACAGTATTTTTGTGCCAAATTTGGTTAAAATCGGTTTAGCGGTTTTTGAGTTATCGTGTTACAGACGGACAGACAGACAGACAGACACCATGAAAATATTTTGTATTTAGGTCATTTATGATCCAAATAACTCATTTTGAGTGAAATTAAAAAAAACTTTTTCTTGGTAATCTGGCCATTAGTTTTTAGCCGATCTTAAAAATCCGTCAAAAAAATTTTGAACCTGAATAAATGCTTAATAAGAAAAATTCTACAACATAAGCAAATTTATAGAAATACAAAAACATACCACGGCCTCTTTTAGGAGGTGGTCCTGAATAGCCTCCTAAACTATGTCCTCTTGGCGGTCTCTTGCCCATACCCATATTGACACTACCACCAGTGTTCCTCTCTATTTCAAAGCTACCGGCATGGAGTTTGCACAATTCTTTGATACACGATATCACCTAGAAATTCAATTCAAAACATTCAATCAATAATAGTTTAATCTGCCAGTGGAGTACACAAACTACTGATTTTCTTTATATAATAAAATATATCCTACTAATATTCATACATTTTATTTATATCTATATGCATTATACATACAGGTTGTTAATTTGTTCATTACTCGCGGTAAGAGCTTTATGGTTGAAATATGGCAACCTCGGCCCGCTCGTCGATAGACGACGCCGACGCGATGGGACGAGTCGGCAGAGAAAGCAATAATGAATGCGTTCTCAATAGGCAGTGTTGCCATTCTGTTCCCCTATAAGTAACTGTCGAGTTAACAACCTGTATATAAAAACGAAATGACGTTTGTTAATCTGGCTAAAACTCTAATTTTAGTTGTGTAATATTTGTAGAAGACAAGGGAAGGTTTAAGTGGTGTGAAAATATGAAGAAATTAATAAAGAAAAGCAAGAAAAATAATAAAATATTAACAACTGCAACGAAATCTTTAAAAGCGGCTCATAGAGGTCTTTTTTAGAAATTAATAAATCGAAAAGATAAGGTATCAAAAAACATACTATTGATGTTGTATTTCATTGTTAATCAGGGATGGCATGATTTAAATCAATTGATTTTTTTAATTTTAATCACGTTTAAATCAATTTTTTTTTTATTGAAACTATAATAAAATCAAAAAATAACTTTAAAGTTATAAAACTGTGTCCTAGAAGACTAGAAAAAATATTTCGATAACAGATAGTAAATCGAAAAATAATTGTAAATGTTATAGAACTATAGAAAAATAATAAAAATATGTATTCATCAATTTAAATGTTGGACCGATTTTTCAAGTAATTTCGTGTGAATCCATTAGACCGCTAAACGCAGGGATTTATTTTAAAATTTATGTATAAGTAACAAAAACTCGCTGTTCGAATACATATCATTCGCAAAGTCTAGTGCCAGAACTAGGTTCTTTCTGGATATAAAGATTATATCTTCATTCCCGCAAATCTATAAATCGTTGTCAGAAAACGAAATGCTTTATTTTTTTGAAACGGTTGTACGTTTCCAAATTCCTACTGACGACATTTTGATCTGCAGTAAGCACTTTTACACTCTGATATTAGATAATACATACTAATTTCATTCTCGACTAAGACTATTTCCGAACAATAGCTAGTGTAGCAGTTTTATTAAGAGTAAAAATTATACTTTTTTTGACGATGCTGTACCTTTGAAGGACCATCGTAAAGCTATTCCAACGTTACAGGGAGCACAAAAAGTACATTTTTACTCCGAATAGAACATACTATTTCTTTTAAAACATTACAAATAAATTTTTAATCAATTTCAAACATTGCAAATAATATGAACAGCAATCGAGCAATACACTCGTTGAATTTGACACTTAATATCAGTTTAATAATATATTTTTGTACTTTTGTGCTTAGATGTAACAGTGCTTTACTTTTGTGCCTAGGCGTCAAAATGACAAAAGATAATATATTAGAGATGTTTGAAAAAAAAAATCCTTTTGATCTGAAGCGAGCGACTTTTTTTGCGGAACATATTGGTGACCGATGTGGAAAAATGACACGCGCTGTAGAATTGTTAATGTTATCGGTATCAGGCAGAGTTTTAAAGATTTAGCCATTTAGGATAGGATTTTAATTGGAAATAAGTCCTAGTCATTTGGAAATCCGATTTAAATATTGTTTTGAATTAAAATCAAAAAATCTGATTTAAATAAAAAAAATCTGATTTAAATCAAATAAATCTGGTTTTTTGATTTTTTTAAAAAATCAGCGATCTTGATTCCATAGCCATCGCTGACACCATTTTCTTGTCCCGTGTATAATAGAAAACAGGCTTTCTTTTTAATTTATTTTCGAAAGACTAAAGAGTAATTCCCAAATTGGCTGCCAAAAACTTCAAAAATGATTTTTTTAGATACAATGTCAATAAATAAAAATGAATTCTATTTGGTACAAAGACAGTCCAAGAGAAAAATACACGTCTTGAACACAATCTATGTGGTAAAATGCGAGGACGACCTATATGAAGTTTTTTCTTCTTTAAAATGGATCTAAGAAGCACTTCCTAAATACTAGCATATCATTTAGGAACATCTATACATTAGTGAACAATATTAGTGACTTATTTAAACAAACACCCTGTATAAAAGTATGATTAATTTATTTCACTTATATAATCTACATCACTTTATGTCTATTACTCAAAAAATATAAGTTTTAACTTTCTAAAATATGTATTTTTTGAACACGTATTTATTACCACCTAATTCTGCAATAATAACCTCTGTGCGGCGCACATTGGTTCAGATTCAAAAAAATCGACGCATAGGGATCAAGAAAATAATTTCGAAAATTTCAACAATATTATTTTCAACAGATGATGGGTCCATTTATTCAAATTTATCACGATCCCCTTTTTAATAGTAATAAAAAAGCGTACAGGAATGTTGTTTTCGTTAGATTTTGTAGTTTAAATATATATCAGTTATTTGCTGATAATGGTTTAGTGTTGCTAATATATTTTGGTTCTTAGTTCAGAGACTTGGAAATAAATTAAATTATAATGGATTTTGAAGACCAAGGTAAGTACTTTTTAAGAGAATTTTATTAACTTAAATATTTTTTTATGAAACTAGTAGTTACCACAAACATAGCAGAGCGTTTTTTTTGAAAAAAAAAAACTTTGAAATTGCGTATCTGTAGAACTCCGCAGATCTCCGCTTCTGTATTTTATAATTTTTAAAAGGTATTATACCAAGTTTAATTTGCCACAAGTATTTTACCCCAAGAGACCCCGAGGTAGATGATATATACATTAGAATTTTAAATTGACCAGTAGTCTGATTTTTGTTCCATGGATAATTTCTGAAATTATTATACTAATATTTTTTGAGTAACTCTGGAGTGGTAAAAGTGTAACTATAGAGACTCACATGTTCCTCTCCCGTACTCTATTCCTTTTATTTTTAGAACAATAAGCCGCAGATCAATATGTGAGAGGTTTTTGAAAATGGGTTTTAATAAAAGGTCAGAAGCGGATATTATTGATGAAATTATTTCATTTTTGTGTGATAATAACGTTCCTAACATATTATCGAAAAAAAAGCAAATTGAAAATTTTGTTTATAAATGGTCAGAAAAGTGGAGGAAATGTAATTATACTTGGAGCAGTTTTATTTCCAACAGTTGTCTCTGGCTGAATAAAAATTTACTTTAAATGGAAGAGAATCAATCTTTTGATGACCCTGGCTCTTCAAGAAGAAATTTTTTTTCAAAATTGTCCAAGTCCCAAAAAAATAAAGAGACCAAAGGTATATATTGCCAAGGAATTATTACTTAATTTATAATATCTTACAGAAAAAAACATGTTTTTTATCTACATAATGCTGCAAATATTGCATTATTGCTTTTAATTAATGGCAAAGATTAAAAATCAATTTATTTCTAGAAATTAGAGATTCTTACACCTCGGAAGTTCTGGCATATGCTACAGTTTCTAATTTAAGGAAGGAACATAACAATGAGTCGGCAAAAGCAGTCCAACTAGGGTTTGAATTTCCAGAGAAAGTAGTCGCCACTAAAAATAGGTGAAGATTTACCCGCAGATGACACTCATATGGCAACAGAATATTATTGTCAATCAGATAGTGAAGAAGAACTAGAAGAAAGTGGTGGTGAATCATGTCATGAAGAAAATGAGTTTGAAGCATATTGCAATTTATTTTTTTCCTTTAATTTTGACCAGATAACCTAATGGGTATTCTTTTTTTGACTAGGTTCGAAGCATTTTCAAACCTTTTTAAAAACTATAATTTTTGAATAAAATTCATAGAAATCTGAAATATATTTTGTTTATTCCTGGGACTATCTTTGTCATGTTAATAAATCCGCCATTAAACCTAATAAGTCTAGAATTTGTAATAAAATTAAAAATATCCTATGCGCCACTTTTTGGCAATCTGAACCACTGTGCGGCGGTGGTCGTGCGGCTAAGGTATGCGCTCAATTAGGTATAACATTTCTTTTTCAATGTTATTTCTGTGACATTGTATCAGAAAGACTATTTAATTATCTTTTTAATGTTATATTAAAAATTGTGCGGTTAAAAATGAACATTAATATTAATTTATTTAATGACTGATTTACTAAAACTTACATTATAAACTTATAACTTTTAATACTATTAGAAATTATGAAATTTGTCAGATAATTTCCTGTTTCACAACAAAAAAAAAAGAGTTTCAAAAAGAAAAGAGTATTTTTATCGATTTTTTAACGCAAATTATGTAAACCATTAGTAGTGTAGTAATAGTGTGTAACTTACACACTATTACTACACTACACTCTTAACGACAGTTTCTCGTCGTTCTGGGCATATGTTTCACTATTCAAAAAGAAAGATTATTTATTAAACACCGTGTTACGGTGTAGCACGGTGAGTGTATAATTTTCTGTTGTAGGCACTGAAAATTTCAACTTAAAATGTATAAAAATGTTATTAAAAGTAACTGACCTTTCTATCAGTATCGCCCATTTCCATAATTTGTTCTGGATCTTGAGACGCCCGAATTACCAAACTTTCCAGTGCAGGTCTCAAAGCAACAACTTGTGACGCAACTTGAGGGTCCATTTTTAGGTTGATCCAGTTGTCTAGTCGAACTACACCATCGATCCAATCAACCTGTTAAGAATTATATTCTATTATTTAAGAAAAATAATACCCATTTCATAAAAAAACTGATCAGAAATTCAGGTCAAGATTAAAGAGAAAAGTTGTTTAGTTATTCCCTGTATATTTATAAAACTATGCACACATAAAATTAACTTCTGAACAACTTGTCTCTTTCACTTAATCCTCCTTTTTGCATACGGAGAAGATGTTTGTAATTTGCCGTCATGACAATAATTGTCCCACACAACAAACGTCATACTTTTTTTTGTTATTGAATAATAATAACATAATTTAAATTATTTTT